GAGCACAGTTCCATTGCCCAGTGCAATAGCCTATGTAACAATTTTTATGTCAAATATTTGATTTATAACATTTTCCTTCTTTTGTGATTTGAATTTCTTTTGTACTCTTACTGACTTCAGGAAGATAAGGAAGGTGATCTCCCTAAGTGTAGAAGGACGACCTTACTTGACAAGATTGTGATTATCTCTTATCTCTGAACTATTTTCTTGTCATTTTGCTATTGATTCACTCCCCTAAATATCTAATCAATTTCACATGTTCAATTTAAGGCTTCAGGAAAGTAAGAAATTCTGTTAAATAAAAATAATAAATTAAAAATGAAAAAAAAATCAAATTTTAAGCAATTTTCGCACAAATCAAAACATTTTATGAAATTCGCGGATTTTAGAAAAAAGGAGGACAAGTTCACGGAGCGACAGACCTGCAACCCTTATTATTAGAAATAGAGTGAGAGAATATTTGAGAGCTCTAAACTCGCAACCATCGAACGAGCTATGGATAGAAAAATGACGTCATTTTGACGTCACGTTTCTACTCCAAGGGAAAACCTGCTGTAACCTCGCTCTTTCGAACGGATTTTGCTAACGGGCTGCCATCTTCAATTTTTCTCCCATCTGTCTTTCACCAATTTGATGGTGAAACTGATTCGAACGAATAGGATGCGAATAACGCTGGGATTAAATTAGATTTCCGATTTCAAAAATAGTTTTTACCCAAATATCTTACGATTTTTTATAATCATTTACCTAGATATTTTATGAATACATTTCAGATATAATTTTTTCTCTCTCAAATTTATTATTTCATATAATAAATCGATTAAATAATTAGTTTCTTGCACAACTTATAATAAAATCTATAATTAACCTGTACAACTTTAAATAAAACATGAACTTCTTTTTGTTCCAAATTTTTGTGTATTCTTAGCCATAATATGTTTAGTATAATTATTGCCGTGTTTTTATTAACTTTTATTTTAACTACCTTGTAATATTTTCAAAATATTTGGAGAAAAAATGCATCAAAGTTTAAAGAAAAACTCATTTTTTAGTAAAATTTTGAAATTTTTTCTTTGAAAAAAATCGGTGAGTTATAACTGAAATTAGTACATAATAAATAAATAAGATTACTATAACTGAATCATATATAGCATAAATAAGAATCACTATAAATTGTATACTTATTTGTCATCGGCTGTACAATTTTCTTTTAGAGATTTGAAAGAACGAAAGCTTTCACAATATAATTGTTTTTGAAATTATTATAAAGTACTTGATTACTTTCGATGTATAGTTAAGAAATATAATTTCATTTATTTTCACTTGTCTTCTGAGTTGGGTAGAATATAAGAGAGTAGTCAAAAGAATGAAATATGAAGAACGGAAACTTTTTCTATATAATCGTTTTTGAATTATTATCAAGTTTCTGATAAATTTAGATGCATAATTAAGAATCCTTTTTAATTTTTTTTTAAATTCATCTCGTCATCTTTGAAAACGCGAAAATTTCCCCTTATATTTTCTGAGACAAAAAGATATTTTTCTCTTATATCTACAATGCCGAAATATATTCGAAAATTTATTTTTTGAAAAATTATCTATTATTTTAGGAATAAAATTTTTTAAGATTTAAAAAATTTCTAAAATCATATTTTTTTAAAATTTTTGTTAGAGATAGCATTAAAAAAGTACTCGTATAAGAAAAACATTTTTGTTATTTGTTAATCTGCTGTTTGACAATTGACCTATTTAAAAAATTACTTTTTAATAAAATGGTAAATAACAAATTTTAGGCTGAAAAAAAACTTAGGTAAGCATAATTTTCTTTTCCGTTTTAAGATTCTCTTTTAAATATCAGCTAAATTATTCTAAAGATATTCACTTATATTCATTTATTATTAAACTAGCTTTATTTGTTTTTATTCAAATAATACTTTAGATTATCTTAATGTAGGTGATTAATTCTACTTTAAAAAGTTTTTAACGAATTTATATTATTTTTGACGGCGTAATTTATTTTTAACAAATTTATTTGCATACAGAATGGTAAATCATAAGAAAAGAAATATCCTGCGTTAATCAGAAAAACAAGTGAGAGAATTTGGTTATTAAAAATGTGTTCAATGAAAACTAATTAAAGATATTTGCATCGTGTTACACGAATTTGTAATAAAATAAAATCACGAATAATCCTTATGGCTAGACCGACAGCAATGAAATTGTATAACTAAAAGTTCTAACTCTCAAAAGTTCTAACAAAGTTTCCTTGCGACTTGACATCCTTGTCTCCTGAGTTGGGTTCATTATAAGAGTGCAATAAAAAGACCGGAATATAAAGAAAGGGAACTTTTTCATTAAAATTGTTTTGGAATTATGTTAAAGATAAATTTAGATGCATAATTAAATTAGATGCATAAGAAATTTAGATAGGGGACAGTGGGGTCAATTGTAACATTTTTTACTTAACTATTTTTAACTAACAAAAAATCCAATATATTATCAGTATTAATTGAATGACGAGTAAAGTAGACTATCCTCTACTAGAAAAAAAATACCTTATTTTAAATGTTATTATATTAGTTATTAACAATTTTTGACAGTCGTGCACTTGTTACAATTGTCTCCACTTACGGGGTCAATTGTAACAGTTCATAAGTTCAACTAAAAGATAGTTAATTATACATATTATCATAGTTGTGATATTTTTTTTTATTGATCAAAATAATAGTGATATTTTAGGAGTAAAAATAATAATGAGCAAACTAAGGGTTAAACTTTTAACTTTAAGGGGTTAAAAATTTTAATTTATGCTGTGAAAGGTGACAAATAAAATAATGCTCATGCAACATAATGTAAATGATATAGGAAACTATTGCTGGTTCTTGAAGAGTTAAGTAATGGTTTGTAAACTTAAGATTATTTATTTTCAGCTGTTACAATCGTCCCCAAGTCACCATTTCAGCTTCATTTGTTAAAAACAATGCTAGTTAATTTACAAAACTAATCTTCTTTTTTTTTTTGAAATGTTAATTAAGCTGTCCACTTCCATATTCGGTTAATAATTTTTATTTGTTTAAACAAAATCACTTTGTTACAATATAATANAAAAAAAAAAAAAAAAAAAAAAAAAAAAAAAAAAAAAAAAAAATACTTACGTAGCGTGAAAATATCTTTTGTGATGTAACTCTGTACGTAGCGTGAAAATATCTTTTGTGATGTCCATTTTTTGTAACTCTTTCAAAAGTACATAAAAATGGTTGCCAGCAAGGGTGTACATGTAGATTTATTAAAGGCACCTTGTACGCCACCTAGAAACCAAATCTAGAACCCGACACTCGAAATTTTTGCTCTGTTACAATCGTACCGTGTTACAATTGACCATACTCTCCCCTGCTGATAAATTTAGATGCATAATTAAGAAACTTTTTTTTTATTATTTATTTTCTTAATTATTATTCTCCCCCTAATTTTTTCGTTCTAAATATTCCAAGAAAAATTATTCAAATTTTTAGTCTTATGTCCAAGTTCTGTAATATCGAAATATACTCGAAAATTTGTTTTGTTAGAAATTACGTAATATTTTAAGTATAAAATTTGATAAAATTAACAATAATTTTTTTTCTACTATCACGCTGTTTTAAAAATTTTGTTAGTAATTGTATTAAAAAAATGTTTGACTGAAGAAAACTTTTTAGTTATTTCTTTAACTGTTGTTTGACCATTGAAAGTACTTATTGTTAGTATTACCAATTTTAGGGAGAAGCAAAATCAAGCACAATTTTTTTCTCTGTTTTGAAATTTTTTTTAAAAATACTAGCTAAGTACAATTTTTGAATAATAACTAATATGTTCTGTCTTATTTATTGGTCATTATTATACTAGTGCTTTTTTTGGTTTTATTCAGATATTATTTAAAGTTATCCAGATTGATGCAACTAATTCTAATTCAAAAAGTCTTTCACAAATTTATGCGGGATTTAAAACAAATATTTTTCCAAATGTTTTTTTCATAATTTATTTACATATACAATGGTAAATGATAAGGCAAAAAATAAAATCCTGTATTAAATATAAAAACCATTGAGGATATTTTGAAGTTGAAAATTTTTTTAATTAAAAGTATAAAAAATAATATTTGCAACGAGTTAAACTACAAACACGAATTTGTGATATTAAAAAAAAATCACGAATTACCCTTATGGCTAGAACAACAACAGTGAAATTGTGTAACTAAAAACTTTAGCATGAAATTCTTAAATAAAGTTTACTTGGCACACTTGTCTTCTGAGTTGGGTTTAATGTAAGAGGGTAATAAAAGGGCGAAAAATTTATTGCAGAGAATTTTTTTCCAAATCTAGTTCAATATAACACAACGGTGGAAAATACCATTTTCTAAAAAGAGATAAATTATTAAATTTGAAAATAAATATTGTAATGTTTGTATTGCGAATTGTAATTTATTTTAAAAAATATTATAAAAGAGAAGAAAATAATGTTGCTGTTTTTTTTTTAAAAACTAACGTATAAGTTTGCAATTCCGAAAAAAAAAGTCATAACCAAAAAGCAAAGAGAAAAATTGAAAAAGCAATTTTTTTTAGTTGTAATGCAATTTTTTTTCTTCAGATTATTTAAACTAACAATTATTTAAAAAATGCTAGTTTAAAGTTTATTTTATGCATTCTACCTATTTATTAAAGTTAATTTATTACAAGTTATTTTGATACTTATTGTACCTTTAAAACTAAAAGATTTTAGTGGTATAAGGCTACGTATTTTATCAATTGCAAATATAAAATAAAATAATTATAAATAATAAGAAAATAGAACGAGTAAAGGATAAACAAAAGCCATTGGTCACTTTCTTATCACTATTGATACACAACGTCACTTCTTAGAGGGAGGCTCCAAACCTTTGTTCGAGGTTCGAGGTCTGGGATTCCCTTCACTGCTCTCTTCGGGGGTTGCGAGTTTATGATTTTGTTTCACTATCGGTCGGGGGTATAGAATAGACTCCCGGAAATAGTGACGTCACCGTCCGCGTTCGAAAGCTGCAGAAACTTCTCCCCCTCTGACGTATGCAAGCGTTGAACACCCGTTCGACAACTAAAGCATGACGTAGCAACATGTTAGACCAATCAACAATTTTTAGGAGGTCGCTTACGCTACCGCGAGTAGGGAATATTTTTTCTCTTTCTTTTTTTAACCTAGCAGTCCGAAGCGAGAGCTGTACGAGGAGTCCGAAGCGGTAGATCCACCCATAATTTCAGAGGTAGCCAAAATGTAAATTACTTTAATTTATTTCTTAAAATTTTTCTTTAATTATTGCCTAGGTAATTCAAAATTTTAATGAATAATAATTTTTTCTAAAATTGATCTAATAAGTAGTGCGAAAGCAATAAGTAATTGGTGTTTTTTTTTCCACGTGCACGATTTGTTTTAATTCTCTCCACTCCAGATATTATTTAATTATTTTTTATTTTATACATCTTTTGTGCTATCTTAATTTATCAGCTGGTTTTAATTTGGAAACAGAAAATGATTAATGTGTTGAATATGACTAGTGTCAAATAAAAAGTAATGTTGAAAATTAAACATTGTTCTCTGGGTATACTTTAATTGTAGATTAATGATTTCATTTTGATTCTTAAAAACGATGTATGATTACTAATTTTATTTTTCTTAACAGGCTCCGAATCTGGTTCTAAAATGATATTTTATTCAAATAAACTTCAGTAAATTAACTTATATAAGTAAAAATAATAAGTTGTTAATTGCATAATAATCTAATTAGCAAATATGTATTTTTCCCAAGAGCTTAAAATAAAATTTATTTTTACACAACGGAATTTAAATAAGATATAATAATTAACAAAAATTTAAGATATAACAACACAGATTATTTATATATTTGTATTATTTTTTTTAAACAACTTCGTAGCTATAAAAAGTTTTTTTTTTTTTATCTTCTTTCATTGTTGCTTTGTAAATTCCTTTAGTCTTATTTACCCTTTCATTGATTCATTGCAATTATCAGATCTGACATACTGTGTAGGTTAAAGATGAATGTGAAGTTTAAGTTTGATATTAATGCTACTACTGAATTCAAGTATAAAAATTTCAGTATGTTTTATTTAAAATGACTAGAAATATAAATTTTATTTTGAATTTTTTTTTTTTTCGTAAATATTGTTTTTCTGGTAAATACTTCAGAGTTTCGTTTTCAACAGTCAAACTTAAAAAAGCAGTTTATTTTATTTGTTTATAAGGGAGAGCCAGATAATTTAATTATAAGTTTATTTTTAAGATTAATATTCATTTTTTTTTCTGAAAATAGTTATTCTAATCATCAACTCAAGAAAGAAAGATGCATTTGGAAAATTTCAATTGTTTCCCCAGGTCTTTCAAAGGTATGTGTAAAATTTTAAATATATTTTTAGTGAACTAAGAAATATTGAGATAAAGGGAAAAAAAACCTTGTTTGAATTTCTTTTCTAATTTTTCAATGGACAATTGCAGCGTATCATAATTTTTTTTTATTTTCATATCTAACTTATTGGAAATTCTCTCCTGAAACCGAAAATCTGATTGTTTTCTTCGGCAAATGTTAATTTATTTTGTTATTAAACATGTATATTGCCCCAAAAGGCCTCCGTAAGCGATGCAATCAAAAACGATCGCTGATTGGTTGTGACGTCACATGTGCTGAATGGAAACGTGCCGTCTTCAACCGCTAAAGCTATTTCAATGCTCTTTTAGTTTTGATATCACGTACATCAGCATGTACATTGGAAATCATTAGTAAAAATTTTGTGAATTAAATTTACGGAAAAAATATTTTATTCCACTGACTTTTAAATTAAAATAATGCTCCATTACAGCCTAATTACTTGATTAAAATAAGTCGCAGATTGGATAGAAATAGTATACGTTTGGATAGAGGAAGGATGATTTTATAATTCGTTATTGCATTAAAACAAATCAGTATTTTCATAAATCTAGTTCATTGAAAAATATAAATTCATCATCTTTACAACCTATGTGTTAAAGTTCAAGTATTCAAATAATGTAATTTAATGTTGCTTCTTTTATTTATTTATTTATTACTAGAGTTGAAGGATTTTCTTTTTAAGTGAATATTTTTTTTTCTCTTTTTACTATGCATTAAATATTTAAATATACATTAACGCTCATATTTATTATTCCTTGCGTAAATAGGAATTTCGTTACAGTTAGAAATTATTTTTATTTATAAATTTTAATTCCTTTTTCTGCAATATAATTAACAAAGTATGGCTATTGTTCATTTTCTCCTTATTTTTGCTAACTATTTGTGAGTGCTTGCAATGAAGAATTCTAAAATAGCAAAATTAATACATTATAAATTTTTAATTAAAATAGTTGAAAAAAAAATCTCAGATTAAGCATTTGGTATAGCCGAAAACGTATCAAAACTTTCAAGAGTCTAGTCCAGTGTTTCCCAACCTTTTTTGTGCCGTGCCCCACCTAAGCCTTACTAAAATTTTTATGCCCCCCTATGTAACATATACATAATTTTTAATATTAAAAAAATTGAATTGTTCACTTAAGAAACTTAGGAAATTGTTAGCGAAACAAAGTAAGTAAATTTTCAGAACATATAATGAAAAACTAAAATTCAAATTCGAAATAATTTTAATAAAGATTTTTCTATAATAATTTANAATATGAAGATGGAAACGGTAACAATAGTTTTATTTGATTATTTGATTATTTGATTTCTATTTCCTCACAAACCCCTGCCATCACTCCTTTTATATTAACTAACTGACTCATCATTTTGCATTTCTTCATTTTGCAGATACTTCATTTCAGGTTTGTCACTAAAAAAAATCACTAAGAGTATCAAACAGTTTCATAAATCTTTTCAAGAAGTTCCCTTTAGAGAGCCATCTTACTTCAGTGTGAAGTAAAAGTCTCATATGGTCTGTTTTTTTTCTTCACAAAATAGCTTGAAGAGACGCTCGCATTTGGCATTTGTTTTAATAGCATTGATACACTTTATTACTGAATGTAGTACATCATTTAGAACAGGCGAGATGTTTTTAGCTATCAAGTTTTCCCCATGCACAAAAATCATTCCTAGATTCTCATCTTTCATCAATTTTAAGCAGCCATTTTTCTTGCCCATCATATTAGGAGCACCATCTGCAGCACAAGATGTTATATTTTTCATTGGTATATTATTGACCTCTAAGTAGTTTTTTAGCTTATTATATATATCTTTGGAGGTAGTGGTGCTTTCTAATCTTTTACAGAACAACATTTCTTCAGCAAAATGCCCTTTATCAATATATCTTACAAGTTATCAATACTGCCACACTGTCAATCAAAGTTGATTCATCCGTTTGCACTGAAAATTTTCTAGTTTTCAGCTTTTCAACAAGTTGTTTTTCAATATCTTCACTAATTTCATCTATTCTTCTGCTAACAGTGTTATTACTGAGTGGCATAGCTTTTACAATTTTGTCAAGAACCATTTTAAGAAATTCTGATATTGACGGTTTTATTAAATTCTCTACTATAGTATGATTTTTTCCGGGGATCCACTCGCAGCCTGCCGTCTGCTGCAGAGAGGTTAACTTGACGCCGCCAAAAACCCAGTTGATATTTTGTTCTCGTCAAACGAATTAATAATATTTATTGGCCGCAATTATTTAAGAATTTGCTTTTTTTCTTTCAATTTCGGGACCGAAATCTAACCTTGCATTTAAATGGCCCGGAGCAAAAGGGTTAGCTCATGTACAGTCCATTTTCGAATTGCCCCCCTTAGTAATCAAATTGCCCCAAGGTGGGGCGTGGGGCGTGGGCCCCACGTTGGGAAACACTGGTCTAGTCCATTGAAATACATCTGACCATCATCATCACCATAATCTAGTTATACTTAAAATTTCACTTAATTTCTCACTTATTCACATCTAATCAACTCATTTATCCACAAAATTTCAACTAATATCATTAAGCTGGAAGTTTTTGTTTCACTAAAGCTAAAGAACAATAATAAAAAATTAACTTATACAAAATGGAAAGAAATTCCAATGCACATTCTTTATTATTTATTTAATAATTGAAAAATAAACAGTAATGTTGATATCTTTTCTCAATATTTTTATTCTTCGAGTAAATAGGAACTTTGCTATGGCGAAAAATTATTTTTATATGCATTTATAAAATTTAATTCCTGTTTATGTAATAAAGAACTAAGTAAATGCATATGCTTGATTTCAAATACTCTTATAACATAGATTAAGACAATCAAAATAAAGTTAATAAAATCTACTGGAACGTATAATTTTTTTCCTATTTTAACTTTAAATTTTTTGTAGAAAGAATTAATTTAAAGTTTTGCTCGGATCATTTGTTCAGATTGAATTCATGTTAGAATAAGTAAATAAAAATTATCACTAACTTTAGCTCCCCTACATTTTAAAATCTAAAACTATTTATTCCACATAAAAAATTTATCCAACATTTCTTTTACTTAAAATGGAAATAAATCTTCGAAATAAATTTGAAGTATACATTAACATTAAGATTGGTTTAAAAAAAATTAGAAAAAAAACGAAGTTATTTGTATTTAGAACGCATCATTTAATAAGTAATAGCACACACTTTTTTATTGAATTAAAAAATCTTAAATATTCAGAGCTAGAAAATTTCGTCAACTATTAACAATGTTTCAGTGGGTACCATTGAAATTGAAAATTATAAAAATACGTTATATCAAACCCACATTTTTATTAAACGATATTAGGGCTCAATTTTTTTTTTTACAGATAGTTATTGACCATCTAAAATAGTTGGATTTAATTACGAAAATTAAAACGAAAGCGAGTACGTACTGGCTTTCACAGCGCAGCGATTGTAAGTGAACGGCAGATGGACACATGTGACGTCAGTTCGTGAATAATCACGTGACTCCCCGTTTCAGGTGGAAACGAAAGTAAGCGCTTTTTGATAAAAAAAACAACGAAATAAATAGTTTTCTTAGGAAAATAATAAACTGTTTTCTGGGAGTTTTGTAGGATTCTAAATACATTAAAATTTAAAAAAAAATTGACTGTAATTGTCCATTCAAACTGTAACCTTTTTTCCCCGGAAAATTGTAGTTACGCATTTAATAATAATAATTGTGATTAGTGATAAAAGAAAACTTATACATAATTATTCCAGAGCTCATTCTAGGCAGAAAAAAGGGCAGGATGCAAAAGTTTAAAAAAAGGGCATTATTATTCTAAAAAGGCTATAATTTCTTTTTATGGACTTTACGTTCTATGAAAAAACATTGTCAATTAGTAAAAGAATTTTTTTTTTTTTTTAACTTTTTAAAAAGTAGCAAAGCAATCATATTAATTACTAATTTTTATAAGTAAGTTAACATATATATCGAGTTGATGAGCTAATTAGCTTAATAATTTATTTAAAATGCATGCATATATTAATAAAATAATAAATGTATGTTTTTAAGTGTCTGTAGTTATGATTTAATAATTAAAATGATTAATAATAATTATGATTTAATGATAGTGGAAGTAACTGCAAACTTTCAAAGACAAGTGCAACAAGGGCGTGTGGTGGCTGTTTTTCCTTTCCAATATAAATCTATGTATTGACAGCAATGACAAACTAAATAAAAAGAGTTGAAAATAACAAAAGTTTAAGAAATCCATTGAAGAGCTAAGTTGAAGAGTTTAGGGGGGGAAATAAAGAAGGGTTGAGGAAAGAAAGGGCAAAAAGGGATACATCAGGGCTACATAGTGGGTACTTTTGACTGAAAGAGTAGCAGGGTGCTGCACTCTGTTTGCCCTGGCTAGACTGAGTACTGATTATTCATTTAAACTATGCAAAGAAGGCTAAGGTATCTGCCCTTTTTATAAAATACAATGCCCTTTTTTAAACTTGCTGCCCTTTTTTTAAAAAAAAAGAATAGAGCCCTTTTCAATTTTTAGCTCCCTGCCCTTTTTTTTAGTCTAGAATGAACCCTGTCTATATATTATCGGTAATATATAGGTCTGATAATATATCTTCTGATATATATCCGATAATATATCTTCCTATATATTATCGGTAAATTATCAGACACAAAACTAAGAGAAAAAGAATAGTAATAAAATGTATGTTTAAAAAACTGTGGTTCTTAAGAAAATTTTAAAAAAGACATGTTAAACGAAAAAAAAAAAGAAGAAAAGAATGTAAGTCCAAGTGGAAAGGGAGGAAAGCACATCAATATTATAAGAATTGAATAAATTAGGAATGAAACAGACAGGTTAAAAAAAAAAAACTTTCTGAGAAATTTAACAATGCTCAAGACTTGAAACTCTAAGTGAAAACTTGTAGCTAGAAATGTGTAGCAATTTTTGGAATAGAACAAAATAAATTTATATAATTCATGCACTATATAATACTCTAAATGTGTATTTACATAAATTAAATTCTTAATACTTTGAGCTTGAATTCTTAATTTTCACTTTGGTTATTCCTTGTACTTGTGACATTAAATATTTTTCATTATTTCTTTAATGCCTACTTTTTATATTTTAAATTGGTTAAATTTTTTGATTAAAATAATTTCTAGTTTCTTCTGGCACTTATAAATTTTCGTATTTTTTGGGGTTAATTTTTCTAATTTCTGAATTATGTTTTCTTTTTTATTTCCTTCTGTTTTTAATTTATCTAATGTTCTAACCTAATGATTTTTTTATTAACTTATGTTAAAACTTCATTTAGGACAAAACCTGAACGAATTTGAAACAGATTCCGATTGTGCTACTTATGGGGCAAAGTTTGGAAGCAGTATTTCAGAGAAAGCCATTGGCAAGGGTAAGTATTTTTGTAACTTATATTTGCTCATTTTTTTTTTTTTTTTTTATTTTTTGGTNTTTTTTTTTTTTTTTTATATTTGAACTATACATTTTTTTAATTTTTAGGAAGAAATATATGTGATATATTTAATATTTCAAAAAACTTTTCTTTAAACAAAAAAAAATCTGTTTTTGGTTTATATTGAAAAAAAAAAAGATAAGCTCAAATGATACTCAAAGGCAAATTTTAATTCGTTTATACGTATTTCATTGAGACCTTTTCCTTTTTAACCATTAATCTTTTAATAAATAATTCAAAATTTATTCACTTTTGTTTTATAACTAAGCTAATTTGATGTAAAAAAAAATAACGAATTATTTTTAATCTGTTTACATTCTGCTTTACAATCCACTTCAAATGCTAGTAAACATTCATCATCTATAAATGTTAGCATCCCAGAACAGTAATACTGATTCATATTGGGAAACTTTTAGAAAAAAATTAGTATTTTTTTCCATTTTTGTCATAATTAAATCGAAGCGTTTTTCCTGATTAATAAAAAATATTTCTTTTTATTGTATATATAAATACTTTTATTTAAAAGAAAGAAAGAAAAAAAACTTTTTAAGCAATTTGGATTTGAAAAAAGTCTTTGTTTAAACAATCTAATGCTGAATACACTTAAAAAATTTTATTAACAGATTGTTACAACCTAACTAATTATTAATATTTTTTATTAATTCTGTCTTCTTTTTCCTCCTTAAAAAATGATCATTCTAACAGGGTTTCCACGGGTCAGGGAGAACAGGGAATTTTATTTCAACTCCAAAAATCAGGGAAAGTTGCAATTTTCTTACAAAAACCTGGAAAATTCCTTCATTATTCCTGAAAAAAAAAACCAGTCTTAAAATAGTCAGTAACTATACTCAGTTATTGAGATTCGAGTTAAATAATTCTAACATCACAAGTATTTATTGTAACTTTTTTACATTTTAGACATACTGAAATGCTTTTTTCCTCATATAATGATATTTATTTTACACAAGAAATCTAATACTTGACATAACAAATAAAATAATCCAAATTTCATGACGAAAAATTCCGTAGTATAGATAAAATTTGGTATAGATTTTCATTGAAATTTACCTGGAAAAGTCAGGGAATTTTTTTACTGAAATTGAGTGGGAACCCTGTTCTAATGCTACTCAATATGATTCTTCAGCCTCTCCAATTATGTTTTATAACGAAGAGTGCTTATTTCTAGTTACAAGATTGTCACATTTATTTTAATTTGATGGTCGAAATGAGTTTTTACATATGTAAAATGTAAAACTGTTGCACAAATAGTTTTAAAAACATAGTTACTTTTTTCTAGCTAAAACCTATTTGAAGATAAAATTATTATTAATAGGGAGCCTGGATTATAGATTTCATACTCATTTGTACTAGTTTGAACAAATGACTTATGTACTTTTTAATATTACTTGAAAATACAATTTTGATCAAAAAGTTCATAGAATTTATTTACATGCTCAAATTCAACTTTCAATGTTTGACAACAAAATAGTTTCAAGTCTTCTACTTTATCATAAACTTGTAAAATGCTGAAAAACAAGGAAACGAAGGAGAGTAAAAAATTATTGTTTGTACAAATAAAAGTTACATGAATTTAAACATATATTTTATTTTAATAAAGAAAGAACATCGTTTAGCAAAAATAGCATATAAGTTTGAAAATTTTTTTAAAATTTTCCTGCATGTCTAATTATAAATTTAAGTATTAGTTGACAGTTGTAATGAAAGTTAGGAATTCAATTTATTTACCAGACACAATTTTTTTCAAAATCTAACTTTTTTTAAAAATTAATTAAAAAATTAGTAAACTATGCTATTACAACAAAATCAAGACTTTAGTCTTGCAGTAAAGGTCTTTTTTTTCTATAAAATAATTTAAAGGTAAGGGTTTTCAGCGAAAACTAAAATGTCTTAGCTCTCACTGAAAACAAAACTCAAGCTGAATACAAGTTTATCACTAAGTTAATTTTGTCCAGTTACATTAAATATATTTAGAAGAATATCTTGTGGGCACATACAGTTGTAGTTTAGAATTTCCAAAAGTTTTAAATGACAAATAATTGATTTCTGTGTATTTTTAAGCATACTTTATGCATATAATATGATTAGAGAATTATTTAATTAAAAATAACTTTATAAATTCACTGTTTTATTTTTTTACTGTTTTCATTTTCTAACAGTTAGCAGAAACAAATATAAATTTTTATGTAACAATTCAAATGTGTTGCAGTGTAATCTAATCTTATGTAATAAAATAAACGATTTTTTTTCTAAACTGAATTATTTAATAAGTATCGAGCATTGAAGGTTTTTAATGTAAATAAATCTCTTTTCAATATTTTTTTTAAAAAGTCATGGTTTTTTTCCAATTTTGCTATTCAGGAGATGTTGTTTACCCCTTAAAAACTTCTATTTATTTCAGTGAAAATATTTTTATGGTATTTCTCCCCATTTAGAGTGTCACATTAATTAGCACCTTTTTCCTTTCTATTTTTCCACCTTAATGTTTCAAACTTGTTCCCTTAAAACAGTGTTTTACTGTCTCCAAAGTATTGCTTTTTTACTTCAGAACTTAAATAAAGTAAAAACATTTTAACATCATAAATCGTTTAAATTATTGTTCATGCTTGACCATTACTTTGTGTATTTTTCTATTTTGAATTATTACTATTTTATATATTCTTATGGTTTAATAAAGCTTTTGATTATTCTTTTTAATTTCAATTTTGAACTATTCTTATTTGAACAGTAATAAATGTAAATATTTACCTAGTTCTCTTGTGTATTATAATAAAGCAGATTAATTTTTTAAAAAAATAATAAATGTGAAACTTCATTGTTTTTCATTTATTCTATTTTAAATTACTTAACTTATATTAACTTTCTTTCTAGCTTTTATTCGGAAAGTGTTTTCTGTATTGATGGTTCAGTTGGCAATCACTGTTGGAGTTATTTGCCTCTTTCTTCACAGGTGAGTTTTTGGCTCAAATATTATTACAAACGTTATTTTTTCATTATTCATTCTTTAATTTTAAGATTTAAGAGCCTCTCTGCAGAATGCTATATTATTTCAATTTTAAATTATTTTTGCGAAATTTTATGTTTAATATTTAATTTTTATTCAATGGAATGCAATGCCTTTTAATTTAATTTGTTAATTAAGCTTGTTAAATAATAATCATTATTCACATTTTAGAAGAAAATATTTTAATTTATAAAATAAGTATAATATACTACTTTTTAATATCAGGTTTAGTAAAGTGGAGATATATTGAAAGACATATATTTTCTCCTTTTAATGTGAATTCTCATATTGGCCCTCAACTTGACTAAATGGATCATGATATATTACAATGAAGTCATTTAATAAAATTTTAGTCCTATCATTGAAACATTTTTGTTCTTATTTAGGCAACTATTTTCATAATTTTAGGCAACTATTTTTATGCTTTAGGCTACTAGGAGCAACTATTTTGTTCATTTTTTTCTGTGGCAACCCTGCCGTAGGTACTACAGAATTTTAGGGGATTCTGGGCAAATTCATGAGTAATTGTTTGTTGTTAGAACTTTCCATTGGACAGTAACAACTTTATAAAATATTTAATTTTTAAATTCTGAGAATTCTATGAATTTTTACAAGTCATATGAATTAACGATTTTTTTATTTTTGTATCATAAGTCGGTTGCATTTTTAACAATATACAAGTAATATACAAGTTTGCATTTTTAACAATATACATATATACAAGTAACCAAGTATGCTTAAAATAACTTTCGTATGTTACAGTTAGAGTAACTAATTTTTCATAATGTGAAAAAATACAGACATTGCTATAGTTTTGCTTTTGAAATGATAAGTGACATTATTTAACTCTCATCATTTGGCATAGTTTTAAAAAATAAATAACACAAGCACATGGAATTTGTAGTTTTAAGTACATAGAATTGCAAAGTCTTAGAATTTTGTAGAGAAAGTTCAAAATTTTGAGAATGTACAATGTAATTTTTTGGTATTCTATTTGAATCTTTTTTTTACTTGAAATGAAAATAAATTTCAGAATATTGTAGATAGAAAAAGGCAAAAAAAAATTTATAATAAATAGTTTTTATAGTAAAAAAAAAGAAATATATATCAAAACTTTACTATGCACATGAATACATTGAATGACTGTTATATAAATTGTTCTTTCACTGCTCAAGCCATTATATAATTTATCTAATTAAAAGACTTTACTTTTATGAAACTGAAATAAGTAGCTGTGAACCATATAATTTTTAAGTATTTTTTGTTTGTAAGTTAGTATGTATTTTTTTTTTTTTTTTTTAGTGATTCTGTGCGAAATTATACAGCTAAACATGCTGAGATGATTAGTGTTGCTCTGTAAGTTGTGTTTTTTATTTTAAATTTAAGTCGTGGTTTGTTCTATTAGTTACTTTTGAGTACTTAGGTTTATTCGTAATGCATTTGGTCTGGTTTACTGGCAAAAGAATGTCCATTCCTGGTGCGTTTGCATTAGTAATCTTTTTAAAAGTTTATTGCATTTTTATAATAATCAAATCCTCTAAATCGTAATTTTTATTATAATTTAATCCGTGCTTCATTTTTAAATAAACATTTCTCGGATATTTTATTTGATGTCTCATATTATTAAAAACCACTTAATTAGTCGTTATTCAAACACTGTAGTTTGATGATACTAAAAATAATACAGTAAAGAAGGAACTTCAAAGAAGGTACAGTTTCATATTATGCATTTGTCCAAGTAGCCTAACGAAATTTAATACTGGTATTTAGATTCAATTTTTAAGGGCTCAGAAGAAAGTGTTCTCAACAGTGTAAATTTGCCACTCAAGTTATTAAGGTTGACTTCCGATAAACCTGTAAGTGAATTATCCAGGGCACGTAGCGTTTTACAAACATTTAAATGAATCAAAAAGAATTTACATTCAAGAAAGCGTTATGCAAATATTGTAATTTTTTTATAAACCAGCAATCCACAAATTAGTTTGTTCTCTGGGCAGATAAGTAGGTGGTTAAAAGGAAAAAAAGACTGGTTGGAAAAAGGTGTTTGTCTTCATTCAACCAATAAGGTAACTAGCTGAAGACATCATGAAAATATTTTTTAAATAATTGTTTTCCCTATTAAATGTATTATCATAATTTTATTTAAAGATTAATATATATTAAATTCTCTATTCCTTTATCTTTTAATTTCTAAAAATTCTTTCAGTTTCATGACGTTTATGTGGATGATTGCTATGACTTACTGTAAATATGTTGGAAGAACCTTTCCATTAAATTTCATTTGCCTCTTTTTATATGTAAGTTATTTTCAATTTTTTTTTTTTTTTTAAAATTCTGTATTCCTTAAAATAAAGTGATTTATACAAAAATTTTAGTATTTAGAATATGTTAATGCACGTGTTGTTGTATTTAGGTTTTTTTCATGCAAATTTTAATATTCTCTGTTTTTTTCTAAATAGCATTAATAGTTGTAAATGCTTATGTTAGCAGAGAGCTTCACCTTTTGTGTCAACCCTTTTACTCATTGCGGCAAATCTTAAATTTAAGCCCATTCATATTTTTTTAATACCTAACAAAGCAATATTTGTAAGTATGTAATCATCTTGATTATATAGTAAAACATCATATTTTATCGAATCAAAAAAAAAAAATTGTTTTAATTTTTTTTTTTTTTTTTTTTTTTTTTTTTTTTTTGAAAAACTATTACACGTAATCTAACTGTAATAATATTACATTTATGCTTTTTTAAGATCATTGATTAAAATCACATAGCAATTAACATATAATAGTAAATATAGTAATGTAATCCTTGATTAAAAACACATATACTTTGATACTATTATGTTTTTTTTTCAGGCAAAACAAAAGTGTAGACAACTAATTTAATTAACCTCAGTTAAATTTTAAATTTTTACAAGCATCATATAGATAGAAAATGTTGCCCTGATCTGTGGTTTATTTTTTTAAAGGATACAATTTAGAAATAATTATTTCTGATCATTAAAAACAAAACTAAATTAGGTTTATGTTTGAAAATTTTTTTTTACAAACAGTAAAAATTTAGAAAGCTTTTAACCATATGTATTCTGAACTAATCAATAAAATGAAATTCTTGCAATAAAAAATCTAGCTTAAAAATTAATAATTTTGGTCAGTTTTGACATTTGCTAATAAAATTATAATAAAGTTACCTATATTGGTTAATTTTTATTCATTGAAAAAAAGTTCTGCGATTTGAGAAAAATTATTGGTAGTGATACATATTTCTATATAAAACTGTTCTAATATTCAATAAAAGAAAGGAAATAAATGTTTTAGCTTTCATTCAAAAGTGTGTTAATGTTTAACTCTATCATTTTAAATTGTATAGCAGACATAGAACAATTCTAAAGAATTAAAACACTGATTAAAATGCTCGAAATTGCCACTAAAAATGTTTCGTTTTTAATATATGTTAGAAGCTCATTATAATAAAATCAGAAAAATTAAATAATAAAAACAGTCTTAATGACTTTTGATCTAATTATTGACTTGTCAAAGTACGGATAATCTTAAGATGTTGTGAAAAAAATTTGGTCTTAATCTTTATTTTGATCTCATAATTAATAAAAAATAAAGACTGCATTATTTTGTTGTGTAGAATTTCAAAGGTAAATTATACTTAATGGTTGAAGTTGATTACAAAATTTTCCTATTAAATATTGCTTTTTCAGTTTTTTAAATTTGATAACTAATTAACTATTACTAATATTCTCTCACGAACAGAGCTGTTTCAAACAACTTTAATACATAACGACAATGGAATATGTGGGGGGGGATTTACCTATTTAAGAAAAAATTGATAGATTTTTTTTTCAGTATGAAACTTACTACACATTTATCAAAGTAAGATTAAAAATAAATTTAGATGAAGATTGTGTTTGCATAATATTTATTAATTGCTATCAGTTTACGCCATATATATCTAATATTATGTTTACAATTGAAATAATATTATTTAATTCTTTTCAGACATTCGCTGAATCTTTTCGCATAGGAGTTCATGCTGGGTAAGTAAAATAATTATATGTATGATTGCAATAAACTGTTTAAATCTAGGGTTATCAAACTTTTCAATTCATGCGTCTTTTCTAGTTTTAATTCCTTTTTTCTTTCTTAATAGTTAGAATCTCAATAATCGTTTAAGAACTCGTAAAATATCATTAGTAAAGTGACAGGTAACAATAAAAATGTTTATGGGTAATCAGGGGTCTGTTTAGAAGAAATTTGGGTCCATTAACGGACCCTTCACAAATTATATTTTCATAAAAACGGACCCTTCACAAAATATTTTACCTTAAAAACGGACCTTTCACAAAACAATTAACCTTTAAATCGGACCCTTCACAAATTTGTTTATCTTCATTATTGTTTTGTTAATCTAATAAACCCTACCCAGGATGGGAGGGAAGAAAGACAGATGTAAACGAACTAAATTTTGTCTTAGGCAAACGCTTCTTCCGAATATTCAGCGTTCAGCAGTATAGGCTAAATACCAAATATTTGTATGTTGCATCTCTAACTTAGTTGCAGCAATTGCCGTTTATTTTTTTAAATTTTATTTTTTTTAATTATAATTTTACAGTGTTAAGCATAATCTTGTAGCTTTTACAATTTAAAAACTCCTTGAAAAAGTTTTTTTGCAATAACGCACCCTATTTGCCCAAATTCACAGAAGCAGGACCCAGGTTGAAAGAATGTGACTTAACGTTTATTTTATATTCACAAATTACAAGTAATTTTTTCACAATTTTACAAAAACGTACCTTTCACAAAATGTCTGGACGGGCCCCTGGTAATTCTGGATAAAACAAAAATAGAAATATAAGCTGAGGAAAAAAATGGTAATGCTCTAAAGTGAGTGTAAAAATATATATCACATTACGACAATTCCAGTATATAATACGTATAGTATAACTTAATCAGACAAGTGACTTTTCAGTATTTTTTTCTGCTATTGCGCATTTAATATCTCAAGATAGGCTCTCAAATTGCCATTTTAGAATTTCTTTTCTGATTGGGTCACGTGTCTTTAATATTTGCAGTAGTATTGAATGTGTTATTTCTTCCAAAAGAAAATGCAAATGAAATATTTTTGGTGTCACTTTATTTTTTTAGAGACACTGAGAGCATGTGTAACTTTTATTAGTGTCCAAATGAGAAAAAAAGGAAGAGCCATTAAATTTCTCAAAATGAGACTTATCACCTCAAAAATGTTTTGAATAAATTTGAGTTCTGGAGTTTAAAAATTTCTCTGGTAGAAGAATGGGAGGGTCTTCCACAAGTCCTCCTTAACTCCCTTATTAACAGCATGCATACTCGTTGTGCATGCTGTCTGTCTATCAGGGGTGACCATACAACATACTAGAGGCAACACACACTGTACAAGCCTCACTTTTATTGTCCTCTTTTATCCTTAAGTTCAGACTACATTGGATTTATTGGCAATAGGTCTTGCCAGTGAATGGCACTTTCATTTTTGTTTTGCATACTTTATTATCATGGAATAAGCTATATCCATACCTAATTTCATTTATTTATATTCAGTATTTCTTTTAGATATTTAGGAAAATGTCTTCCATCTCTTAATTTTGTCCACCAGTATATTTAGTATTAATTTATCCTTTTTTTACATTTGACAAATTTCTTGTTTAGATAATGTCTTCATCTAATTTTAGTGCTTATGAAGCTGAGGAAGTCATGTGGGCTGCTGGAATTTGTGCAGTAAGTAAAACATAATTCATTGCAAAGTAAAATTTCAAATGTACCCTCTTTTTAAAAAAAAAATAATTTTGACTTTTCTTTCTTTTTAGTTTATATTTTCAGGTTTAACTGCTTCTGCACTTCAAACCAAGGTAATATTTAGATTTAATTTATTCAATTCTATATCATTATTTTCCATAAATTTTAAATATTGTCTTTCATTAACAGTATGATTTTACCTTGAGGGGAGGATTTCTGTTTGTGGCTCTGCTGTACTTTGTTATCTTTGGAATTTTTGCTATTTTCCTTCATGATAAAGTATGTATTTGTCATTTTTTTCCCTTATTATATATTCTAATAATACTTACTTTGTATGTTACGTACCAAATCAGAATTATCCGTACTTTATTGATGAGATCTTTCATTTCTAGATTATACAGCTGGCTTATGCTTGTGTCTTTCCTCTCCTATTTTCTATGGTGAGTATCAAATAATTTTACATTGTATGTACTGTAATTAAACTTCCTGCATTATAATTCATATAATATCCTGTACTGCATTACCTTATTTTAAATGTATGTTTAAAAAGTTTTATCTACACAAGGTTTATCTCAGAGCCATACTTTTCCCCATTTTAACATTTACCTCTTTTTTGTATAGTTATTTGTTTTTGAAAACTGACCACGCTATCGAAAATTTCTACTGTACATTTTTTCTTTAAAAAAATAATCAAAAGACCAATCAGCATCGATTTTAAATCCTTCAGTTGATAAATATTAAAAAGCCGACCGGCCTGTGTAGGAGTCCGGGAACTGGCCTGGCATCAGAAAGGTTCTGGGTTCGAATCCTGGGCAAGGCGTAGATGTTCTTTCCTTCTCTGTACTATCTGTCCTTACCGTGGGAGTAACGTTGGTCCATCTAATATGGTGCCCCTGAACGAGTGGCCAGCAAATCTGCTCTTCATATGCTTGTATGACAACGAAAGGGGTTTCTCCAGGTGGGCATCGGGAAAACGATATATATATATATATATATATATATTAATGTCAGGTGCTGTTAATTTGAATTTTTTAATATGATTTGTTAGGGTAGTGTTTCCCAAACTGTGAACCCTTTCTAAATTTTTCATAATGCTGTGTACCACTAACAAAAAAATGAATGTATTTTTTAAAAAATATGTTTATTTTTCTTTTTTGGTACAAAGTTTTGTTAATAAGTTTATTTGCATCAGTGAGAAGGATAATATTGTTTTTGCTGTGATAAAAAAATTGCTCAAATGTTAAAAATCAAAACTGGCTGTTGACTCCACTATTGTTGACACACTGGCTGTTGACTCCAACTGGTAACTCAGTAAAAAACAGCCAATACAAAAATATGTAATCGTAAATTTTCATGGCTAACTTTGTTAAATAAAATGTTTTGAAGTTTCGTTTGTTGTAAGGTATTTCGCATAAGAACGCGTACCCCTGGGGGTATGCGTACCTCACTTTGGGAAACACTGTTAGGGGATCATTTACTGTTTGTTTAATTTTTATTAAGTATTGTCAATTAAACTCCGTTTTTACATGGTAAGTTTTGCTATTTATATCATTGATATTTACAGGGTGCATAGCGTTTTTAAAAAGTGGTTAAAGGTGCTTATTTTTGATTTCAGTCTTTTAAAAGCCTTTAAAGGTGCTTTTTTTCATTGGATGTTTTTAAAAAATGCTTAATTTTCCATTTCTCAAAATGAGATTTTTCCTTTACTATGTTGATTTTCGCTTCAAATTATGCAAAAAGACGCAGTTCACATTGTTCTATTCAACGTTTTCACAATTCATTCAAACCCAATCTATTTCGGCGTATTGTCAGCCCGTAGCGTATGAAAACTCCATTCGTTTTACATGATTCAAATTTTTATAATTTTTGACAATTGTCAAAAACGAGGCCAAAAGTTTTTTTTTTATATGACTATTAAAACAAGATAAAACCGTCAATTGTCAAAAATTTTCCAACCCTATGTAATTATGATATTTTTTTGAAGTGTTTAAAAATATTTTTTGAGTGCTTGAAAAGTGCTTAAGAGGTGCTTATTTTTTGTTGAATAATTTGGCGCCGCACCCTGATTTATATTGCTCATTTGTTTTATATTGTGGTATAATCTTATTCAATTAAAATTTTATATTAGTAACAGTTAATTATTTCAAGGTGATTTGAAAATGTTTTTGAATGCTATATCTTTTAGTAGCCCGTTCATTTCCTAATGATATACATAAGATTTATCAATTCTCCTGTTTATTGTAAAAAAATTTGCTGCACACAAAGTATTCTTCAAATTGTTGTCCGAAATGCGTTCTTTAGATTTTTTAATTACCTATAATTTTCCTGTTTCGTAATCTTATGCCTAATAGTTTCTTAACATGTTACATGTCTTATTGGGTTAATTCAGTTTCTCCACTTTTTGAATTTTTGTATCCCTAGTATATTATACATGAAGATAGCATTTAATATTTTATTGATTAAAAGGTTAGACATAGTTAAAAAAATTATTTTAACCTTGGCAATTTTATATTTGTTGCAAATTAAAACTTCATTGGATCATTTACATAAAAGCTTAGTTGATTTTTTTCCCAATTTTTATATGAACCAATTCCTTAATAATTGATTGATATTGAGCAAATTCTTTCGTTACCAAGTTTCATTAAAATATATTTTGAATTTGTGGATGCACTGAATACATTTTTCAACATTGAATATATTTAATTTCATAATTTTAAATATTGATTATTTTTCAGTACTTGGGTTTTGATACTCAACTTCTGATTGGAGGTCATCACAAATATTTGATATCACCTGAAGAATACATTTTTGAGAAATATTGGCTCTCACCTGCTACATACATTTTTATTGCTTTGAAATTGTACCTGGACATTAATTATTAACCTCTTCATCTAAATAATTTTGTGTATTCCTACATCAAAATCTTGTGATATTGTAATTGATTTTTTTAAAACTAAATTGTTAAAATTTAAAAACAGTTTTTATAAATAAAATTGTTTTTTAATGGTTGTGAAATTATGTTTGCACACAGTTGTAGATATTGTATTTACTGTATTTCAAAGTTGTGGTACCGATTGCAGTTAACAAAAGAAAATACACAAAACAACGTGTTCTCAAGATTAAACCATATCTGATAGAAAGGACAACTAAATGTAGTATAGTTTGTTTATAGAAGGAACTCCCCTCACCACGAAGTTTAAAGCCACCTGCTGCTGTGGAAACTAGAAATAACGCATTTTCAAAGAGGGGAGCTTCTTTCTCCCCTGGTTCCCTTTCTCTCACCGACCCGAGCCAAAACCTGTCTTTTACAGGGTTGCAAAAAACCCACCTGCCCAATTAAACCCGTCCGGGTTTTACTGGGTAAAACCCACCCTAGAGTGGGTTTTTCTAAGATTGATTTCGTTTTTAATCCTCTGTTATATTAAAGAGCTATTCTATTGAAATATTTATGTAGTCTAGGCTAAAAAAAATTTTAACCTCTAGCGAAAAAATTAATTGTGTTGAAGACTGGAGAGTCACCTTGCTGACTTGATTCGACTGTATAGTCATTGATTATTCGGTGCCATTTATTCGCTTTCTATGCAAATAAAGAATATTCCTCAAATATTTTTTAAGATTAAAATATAAGTAAAAAGTAATCCTGTGTTAAAATAAGTTTCAAATGTGTGATGTATGTGCGTACATATAGTATTTTGTATCGTGATGTCAGAAGAAACTTTTTTCAGACTTTCACATCAATTTATTTGTATAAATTATCTATATGAAGTCAATTTATAAAATTAAATTTAATATTAAAATAAGCTTTTTTAAAATAAGATCCCTGCCCTATCTTTTGAAAAAGCCCCCTTGAAAACATGAAAAACCCAGTAAAAGCCACCCGGGTTGGGTTTTTCTGCAAAAACGCGGGTTTTTTGCAACCCTGGTCTTTTATGACACAACACCCCTACTTGAAATAGTTAAACTTCGTAACCATAGTCATCACCTCTCTAGAGGAGTTCTTTACATAAGTAAACTATACATATTCTTTATACTATTGGAGTATCGTTCTATAATATAGAAGTACAGTTAAACGCAAATTTCAGGTGGAAAGAATATTTCGAAGTATAAAGATTTAAAGTGATTTAAAAATAATTTAAGTTTTACCTTTTTTAAAACCAGTTCTGAAATAAAATAAATTTAAATTTGCCACTATAATTATATTATTAATTTGATATAAGTTTAATAAGTATTTTTTAAATTACTTTTAATATTTTGTAAGAAAAAAATTGTGTTAGTGAATCTAAATAGAAGAAATAAAAGAGAGCGTAATTTGAAACTTTGGTACTTGAGCGAAATCCTGTCGTCCATTTTCACTAAAACCAAAAAAATAGCGCTGGAAAGCACGATTTTTTTGCTAACAGCTGAAAACTTTATACCAAATACATGGAGGTTATTTTTATAAACCATACAATGTTAATTATTTCTGTTTAATAATTTTATTATAATTATAATAAAATTATTACACTGAGATAAAAATTATGGATTAGCAATATGCAAATGGTAGTAGTGTCGTGTACAAAATGTACATACGGATAGTACACTAGCAGGACTTTTGTGTTTTCAATTATGAATTGGCAGGTTTGTTTTTTTGCAATTATGACCGCGAGATGAGATTTGGCAGGCTTTGAGCGTGGAATGGCAGTTGGAGCTAGACTCGTAGGACATTCCATTTCGAAAATTGTGTGTGAATTCCACAATTCTATATCTACATTGTCAAGCCGAGAATACCTAATTTCAGTCATAACCTCCCACCGTGGTGGCATGCCGCATAACCTTACAACGTAGTGCACTTGATGGCCGAGACCGTCGACGTATGCGCAGAAATGCCAGTGTTGACAGACAACATTGCGTGAAATAGTCGCAAGCATCAATGTGGAGCCGCGATGGTTCAGGGGATAAGGCGTTCGCCTTCCAATGATGTGAACCGGATTCGAATCCCAGCGATGGCTGGTCGATGCGAATTCGGCTTGCACCGACCACATTACTGAGGTGAAATATCCTGAGTGGTAGACGAATCATGGGTTAGAGTCGCCTTGCCATCAGGCTAACCTAGGGAGGTTCGCGTTGTCTTCCTCTTCATGTAACGGAAATGCGGGTTAGTTCCACCAGGAAGTCTTCCACGTAGGCAAATTTCTCCCAATACTCGATACAGGAGTTTTTTTTTCTGGATTGGGTTCACAATTACAAGGTTACGTAAATGAACATTAGTAGTCGTAAACCCAAAAATGGAGTCGGCTGTTCAACTCAACAACGGTTATAATATAAAATAGAAACATCAATGTCCGACCTGAAATAGGCGTGCCCGTTAGAACAGTGCGGCGAGTTTTGGCTTTAATGGAAAATGGCAGCAGAAGACCGACTCGAGTACCTTCACTAACAGCAAGACTTCACGTCCAAAACTTTACCCGGGCTTGGGACAATATCGGTTAGATCCTAGACGTCTGGAAAACTGTAGCTGTGTTAAATGAGTCATGATTTCGACCTGAAATAGGCATGCCCGTTACAACAGTACGGCGTATTTTGGCTTTAATGGGAAATGGCAGCAGAAGACCGACTCGAGTATCTTCACTAACAGCAAGACTTCACGTCCAAAACTTTACCCGGGCTTGTGACAATATTGGTTAGATCCTAGACGTCTGGAAAACTGCAGCTGTGTCAAATGAGTCATGACTTCCGCTGATATGGAGAGTTCGAGTGTGGCACAAACCTTACGAAGTCATGTTGTTAACTAGACACGCTGGAATCTGGTGGTGATTCCATAATGGTGTGGGCAGTTTTTTCATAGTATGGACTGGGCCCTACGGTTCGATTACACCGATCACTGATTGGAAATGGTTATATTGAGCTACTTGAAAACAACTTGCAGCCATTCATGCAACCAAACGACGATGAAATTCTTATGGATGACAATGCGCCATGTCACCGAGCTTTAATTGCTCGCGACTGGTTTGAAAAATATTCTGGCCGATTGTAACGAATGATTTGGCCACCTAGATCGCCTGACATGATTCTCATCGAACATTTAAGGGATAAAATCGAGACGTCAGTTCGTGCACAAAATCCTGCACCCGCAACACTTTCGCAGTTTTGAACATCTATTAAGGCCGCATGGCTAAATGTTCTTGCCAAAGACTTTTAACTACTTGTTGAGTCCATACCACGTCGAGTTGCTGCACTTTGTAGAGCTAGAGAAGGTCATGTACGATGTTAAGAAGTATACAATGACTTTTGCCACTTCAATGTATAATAGTACAATAATATAATTATAAAGGAAATAATATTTTCTTTTAAATTTTAATTCTCATTAAATATGCACCGGTTACAATATGCAAAGATTTGGTGCTAATTTGGCGGAATTTGCGCGAGCTTTCGAATTTTTACAATAAAAAGTTTTTTAATTGCTGGGGGAAACTGAAAATAGGTGAAAAGTGATATAAAACATCTTCAACATATTACAGCAATAAAACTGATTTAAACATTCTTTAATCCCGTCTTCCTCTATAGTGACTATACAGATTTTTTTAAAGTGTTTAGTTCCTTGCTGAACTAATTAGATTCGGCCTCGAATGCGATGATTTTCTTAATTTTTGAAGAAACTTCTAATAGTATATCTTTGGTGTGGTGATTGTAGAATACCCAGTATATGCCAGTGCATGAATTATGTTTTTAGCCTATCATTCTGCGAATAATTGGCTTTCATTTTTTGGTGATTGTGGTTCTTTCTGCTAATTTTAAGGTGGGAGGACAACTGCGAATTGAAAGAAAAAGTTGCCTTCTCGCTATTATATCGAGATGTCACTTAATTGCCTATGCATCACGAAAATTATCTTCTTTCATATTGAATTTAAAAACCAATTAAATTTTTTTGATGTGAAAGGGATCATTCTTTACTACTCAAGTAACTTAAATTGTTTTGTTTTTTTAAGTTCAAAATTTTTTTACGCTTCAATCTTACTCGCTTTTCAAACAATAAATAATCACTGTACAACAAATTTGAATTTGTCTTCTGTCCTTTAGATGAAACTCGTGTTTCTGTTCAAAAAAAAAAATAAAAATTGCTTTATTCTTATACCAAAGCCAAACTTGCCGAAAAATTTAAGCAGGCTTCCAGTAAATTCCCGCACATTTATCACTTAATTGTGTATCTATAGCCTCGCAACTTCGGGATGGTAGATAAAGCTTTTGTCGCCAAGTTTGCGACATTCCCACTGTCAATGAGACCGCCTCTCTTTTACCTAAAAGCTGTTTATATAAGCAGCATTTTCACCAAATGAGGTTGTTGCACTGCCGAAGAAATATGAGAACCGCGATTCGTGAAAATTACATGTTGTTGCTGTAGTTCATTTACATCGCACTAGAGCAACACAGTGGGCTATTGGCGACGGTCTGGGAAACATCCCTGCGGATGATCCGAAGACATGCCATCACAATTTTGATCCTCGGCAGATGGGATGGCACCCCCGCTTCGGTAGTCCGACGACCTGCACGTGAAGTCGAGCACTTTACGGTAGAAGAGTTTAACGAGGACCAGTACTGCACACCCTCGATCCCTATGCAGACTGATCCAAGTGGTCACACTGACCGCAGCCAGTGATGCTTGACTTCGGTGATCTGGCGGGAACCGTGTCTTAACGATCAGTCCATTGCAGGACTGAAAATTACATATTGTCCCGCGATAAAATTCACCTATTAGATACTCGTATTCTCGCGAAGGCGATTAGAGGTGCGGTAATTACATTAGGTGAGAATGCTCCCACGTCAAGCTAAAATATGGATAATCGGAATTTTGGTACTTGGTAAACAAAAAATCATTACTGTCTGTCTAAATTATACAAAATACGCTCGTCACTGCAAATGGGAATGTCCAGCTCCTAAAAACTTTACTTCGGTGCCTTGGGGTATTCTGGAGGTTATACAACCAATGAATTATATAGGGCAATCCACAAATCAATAAGAGAAGGAGGTGGTG